CTAGAGGCGCGCTCGCGGCATGCCCTGGGTGTCAGCGCTTCGCCTCGGAGCCGCGTGACTGTTCGCGAGTCCGGCTCCGGCTTTCCGTGCCACGGCAGCGACGGCGCGCTCCTTCCAGCCGCGACGGCGGAGCGCTGCGAGGCGGGTGGCGCTGCGGCGGCGGCTGATGTTCGCTGCTGCCGCGCAGAGCTGTCGTGCCGCCGAGAGTTGGCACGACAGCTCGAAGGCGGCGTCGGCGACCGCCGCGCTGGCTCTCTCCTCAGCAGACGCCGCGTCGCGTCTCGGCGGCGGCAGCTGCTTCGCCGCGAGAATGTGGCGAGGAGACGTACGCGCCTCCGCTGTACGTCTCCTCTGCGGCAGCAGCATTGAGCGAACGCGGTGGCTGAGCTGGGCGGAGTCGACATATATATATATATATCAGGTGCGGCGGAAAGAAACCGCGTCGCAGGCACGTGACGGTCAGAATCGCAAAGCCCACGAGGGGCAGCGAAAGAAAACAAAAACAATCACAAATGCAAAGCTCACCACCGCGCGCCACCGAGCTACAGCGATGCCGTCATGCGTTGACGGCTTGTATGACGCTCTTCGTCTACTCGAGCCTCGCCTCGTGTGCCGCCTCGTGGACGGCGTGGCGGGCGGGCGGCTGTCTCTGCCGCCGCCTCGAGAGAGCCTCGTCTCGCTCTTTGTCTACTCGAGCCTCGTCTCGTGTGCCGCCTCCTGGGCGGCGTGGCGGGCGGGCGGCTGTCTCTGCCGCCGCCTCGAGTGAGCCTCGTCTCGCTCTTCGTCTACTCGAGCCTCGTCTCGTGTGCCGCCTTGTGGGCGGCGTCGTCGCGTGTGCCACCTTGTGGGCGGCGTGGCGGGCGGGCGGCTGTCTCTGCCGCCGCCTCGAGTGAGCCTCGTCTCGCTCTTCGTCTACTCGAGCCTCGCCTCGTGTTCGTCTCGCTCTTAAACTACTCGAGCCTCGTCTCGTGTGCCGCCTCATGGGAGGCGTGGCGGGCGGGCGGCTGTCTCTGCCGCCTCCTCGAGTGAGCCTCGTCTCGCTCTTCGTCTACTCGAGCCTCGTCTCGTGTGCCGCCTCGTGGGCGGCGTGGCGTGGCGGGCGGCTGTCTCTGCCGCCGCCTCGAGTGAGCCTCGTCTCGCTCTGAGTCTACTCGAGCCTCGTCTCGTGTGCCGCCTCGTGGGCGGCGTGGCGGGCGGGCGGCTGTCTCCGACGCCGCCTCGAGTGCGCCTCGTCTCGCTCTTCGTCTACTCGAGCCTCGTCTCGTGTGCCGCCTC